AGGCGGTCAGAGGTGGGGCTCCTGCTTCGGGGGGGGGGCTGCCGGACCGTGGGGATTGCGGGGAGGGGGCCCCACAGGTGGAGGGGGGGACTGCAGGCACCGCGGGCAGCCTAACCCGGCGTGGACGTGGGAGAACGCGGGTGCTATTGCGCCGGGGCCCACGCGGGGGCGCCACGCACCCACCTGGGACTCTGGTTCCAGTCTCCCGGAGCGCACGACAGAACCAACAAAGATGGACCTAAACATATTTAGGAATGTGTTTATATCCTGCCAGTCTCCGGTCCTGTATAGGAGACTCAAACCACTGTTCAGCTGACGGGAGACCGACCCTGCGCAGGGAGGAGGCGACCAGCAGCCCTGCCACCGAGCCCACCGCGTGGCTGGTACCTGATGTGCGCTCGCCACCCCCTAGGCGAGAGGGGGACGGACCAGGAGCATTAACATCTGGCTAAAGGAAACGTACCAGTAACTCAAGAGACAAGCTCAAATGCCATTAATTCGTTTTTCTTTAGTATATATGTTATTTTAATTAATTAGTTTGTTTATTCACTTTACTGTTCAAGCAATCTTAACTCCACCACAACAAGCTTGGGCTGGTGAATGATTACTGGAGCAAAGGGTACGAACTTCGCTTGATACATGTCGTGAAATTGCTTTCCAGCAGGGTTCTTGCTGTAATTGCTAAAGAGAATTCATCCCGTGGGATTTTATATAAAGGAACGAACGGCATCTTCAGTAACTCTCACACTGCAGATGGAGAATCTGTGGCAGTTCGTAAGCTCTGCTTTCCTCTGCTTGGCTGTGGGATACGAATATCGGCCCCAGAGTTTGCCCCGAGGGGTACCTGAAACAATGTGTGTGCTGGGCGCCACGTGCCTGGCACACAGTAGAGGTGCTTGCGAATGGTACCTGTCATAACTGATGATTATTACGGTAACACTGACGATAACAGAACATCAACAATACTTACTGTTGGGGTTCTTCCCAGGCAGCCTGTAGGATTGGTTGCTGTACGGCGCTGTGTTCGTCAGGATACACTCAGCCATGCTGCGATAACAACCTCCAAACAGCAGTGGCTTAAAACAAGATCATTTCTCCCTTAGGCTACCTCTGCATCGTGGTCAACAAGGGGCTTCTTCTTATCTTAGTTATTCAGGGACCCAGGCTGATAGAGCAGCCACCATCTTCAATGCTGCCAATCACCACACCGGGAGGGAGAAGTTGAAAGAGCTCTGGGAGGTCTTACACCCGCAGTGAATAGCTGTGGCCCAGAGAGACACTTGTCTGTTCTGTGGCCAACAGTTTCTCTAGAACTAATTGCACGGCTTCGCTCAACCACAAGGGGGGCAGGAAAGAGCAACCCTACTCAGGCCTAGAAGTAAACCGGCAACTGGCCCTACAGGACCAGCCCCAGCTCCACCACAGGCACTGAGGGCGGCAGCCTGGATTCTGGAACATGCTGGCAGCCACCTCCTCCTCCACGGCCCTTCTGGGTTTTCTAAGTTCTGGTCTGTTATGGAGTCAGAGCCCCAGGAAGTCAAGATGCTGGGTCCCACAGCTTCCCTGAAGGAAGATGGCTTTCCTTCTGTACGACGCCCTCAACTTTGTCCAGAGACCAGATGGGAAATGGTCACAGGAATTTTCCATTTGCTGCAAAGCCTTGTTTTTCCACCCACGAAAACACATGCCCACTAATTTTTACAACTACTCTCCACACTGCTATTACATATTTTTTTAATTATTATTATGGAGAACTTCAAACATATGCAAAAAGAGAGAGACTAGGATAGTGGACCACTTCATCATCCAGCTTGACCATTTCAAAACTCCACCCTTCTGGTTTCATGAATTCCCTCACTTGTGTTCGTTTGTGCTGGAGTATTTTAAAGCAAATCTCAGACAGCCTATTATTTCACCTGTTAATTCTCAATATGTATTTCTAACATATAGTGACTTTTAAAAATAACCATAATTCCATTATCACATCCCCCCTCAACTGACATTATCTAATATATACTTCATGATCAATTTCCCTTGAATGTCTAAAAAATATAATTTTATAGTTGATTTGCCCAAACCAGGATCCAAGTAAGGGCTATACATTGCATTTGATGAATTTTTCTTGGTTAATTTTTATTTATTTATTTTTAAAGATTTTATTTATTCATTTAGAGAGAATGAGAGAGAGTGAGCTCACGCAAACAGGTGAGGGGCAAGAGAGAATCTCAAGCGGACTCCTCGCTGAGCGTGGAGCCCCAGGTGGGGCTCGATCTCGGATCCTGAGATCATGACCTGAGCCAAAATCAAGAGTTGGACGCTCAAGTAACTGAGCCACCCAGGCGCCCCTTGGTTAATTTTTTAAAAATATCTTTTAAATTGTAATACTTCTTCCTCCTTCATGTTTTCAATGCCATTTTGTTTGTTTGTTTAGGAAACTGGGTTGTTTTCCTGTCGAGTCTCCCACATTCTAGATCGGGCTGAGTGTAGCCTTGTAGTGTCATTTCACATGTTCCTCTGTCCCCTGTCATCGTATTTAGAAGTTTGATTAGACGTACGTTCACTTTTTCTCCCAGGAGTCTTTCATAGGTAAGACTGTATATTTCCTCTTTCATCACATCAGGAGGCACACGGTGTCTGGTTGTTGATGCTACGGTTGATCAGTAAATTCTGCTGCTGTCGGCCTGATCCATTCATTACAAAGTTCCTCGTTGCACCAGTTGCCTATGGCTGTTGCAACGAATTACCACAAACATGATGGCTTGTGACAACAGAAATGTGTTCTTCTACTGGCCTGGAGGTCGGAAGTCTTAACTCCCGGTGTTGGCAGTGTGGCCCTCCGTCTGTAGATGCTGAGGAGAATTCTTCCTTACTTCTTCCTTCTTCTGGTGGCAGGCGGCATTCCTTGGTGTCTCTGGCTGCATTGTTCCTATCTCTGTCTGTCTGTGGTCACATTGCTTCCTCCTCTTTGTGTATCTGGGTCTCCTCTTCTTCTTTCCTGAGGACGCTTGTCATTGGATTTACCCCACCTGGCTAATCCAGGATGATCTCATTTCAAAACCATTGACTGACTTTTGGGAATAAATTCATGTTATGAGTTACATCCACAAAGACCCTTTTTCCAAACAAGTTAACATTCACGGGTTTCAGGGATTAGGAGGTGGACATATCTTTTTGTGGCCACCACCTGACCCAGTACACCCACACCTTTTTATCTAATGGCTACTGGTGATCATTGTCTAGATGCAACCCTTATTTCATTAGGAGCACAAAATAGAGACATTCTAATTTTGTCATTCTTCCTTCCTTTATGATTAGCTGTGAACTCTTCCATAAAGAAAAATGTCCCTCATCGATGATTGTCACCCTGACTTAGATCCATTCAGGAAAGGTAGGATCAACGCCTGATTCTCTCCCATAAGTCTTAGCTAGGTACCTACGGAATGAAGGTTTGCATCCCCCCAAATCCATAGGTTAAAGCCCTAATCCCCAGTATGATGGTTTTGGACATGGGGCCTTTGGGAGGTAATCCCCTGATGACAGTCTTGCCCTTATAAGAAGGGATTCGGGAGAGCTTGCTTCTCTCCCCGTGCTCCCCCACAGGTGACTCTGGTGGGAAGGCCGCTGTCTGCAGGACAGGAAGCGAGCCCTCACCAGACACCAGATCTGCTGCCCCCAGTGCTGAGAGAAATGCCTGTTTGTTGTTTAAACTTTCCAGTCCGTGGTAACTTGTTACAGCAGCCTGAGCTAAGACAGTGGGGTTCCCTAAAACCAGATGTCAAGTCAAGGCTTTCAGTATGAGCAGTTTATTTGGGGGGCCATGCTAAGAGGCTCCGCTGGGGGGCTGGAGACGTGAGGCAGGAGGGGGGAGGAAGGCAAGGAAGGGTGTGAGAGGAGCGGGCAGAGCGGCTGGTCCCGTCCTGCTGGGGAGCCCTGGAAGGCGGTGTGGAGCCTGTCCCAGAAGATCCCACCTGACGGGCAAAGACAGTGGGGTCATAGGTGTGGGCCTCCTGTCTGAAAGTTGACGGCTGCTCCGGGGAGCATTCACCCATCAGCATCGCTGGCTAGCTCAGCGCACACAGGCTCCCACGGCCAGAATACAGCCCTCAGGCAGAGTCACAGATGTTGCCGTCGGCCTGTGGGGTTGGGTGCTGGAGGGTCGGGTCATAGTTGAGGTCCACCCTCCGCACTGCTCAGATCCACGTGTCCCCGTGTCCACTCTGCCCTGTCACTGAGTCCTCAGGGCGGCGGCTGGGCTGTGACCAATATCAATATTCCACATCTCCTTCCTCCACGGTTCCTCTGTTGTCTGTGGGGCTCTCACAGTAGAAAAGCCCGGACCTTCACCCCCGAGGGCCTTTCCTTCCCATGCCTTCGACTGGCCAGCATTCTGCACCCACGGTCATGCTTCCCACCGGACATGGGCTAATCAAGAGCAAACGTCTTCGCCAGTATAATTCTTTTCTTTGCCTGTTGGTGAATTGGCATGAGGTTCCCAAAGGGACCCAGAGGCTGCTAGCACCTTAGGTCTGGTGGTACCCTTACCGTGACCCCTGGCAGACACATCTCCCACCCTAGGGACTAGGGCTTCTGATCCTACAGAGCCTAAAGATATAGGGACGGGAAGCACGAATTCCCCTAGTGGGTCACTGGGGCTGACAGTGAGAAGCT